CATTCCTGAGGGACTACGCAGAAGCCACTGTCTTGTCTGTTGTTAAGGATGCCACCATCAAGTTTGCTATGGGCGGGAGTGATTCTTAGTTGGATTGATGAATATATCTCCTAACACTGCTCTGAAGTTCATGGGGCTTTTTGTGAGAATGGAATGGCCAGAGCATTTTGCCTTAAAATAACCACGTACTGCAATCATTATGGGAAAAACTGAACCAGAATGGGGGAAAAAATGAAAATAAAATCTTCTGTTTGTTGCAGTGGAAAGGATGCCGAAGAAGAAGAAGAAAAGTACAGAGGGGCCCAATTCCCGGGCCCAAGATCAGGAAGAAGAGGAGTCAAGGGGAGAGTCGAGTGCCCAGCTGAAGCGCAGCTTTGGTGATGCTTTTATTGTTATATCTGACAGTGATGGAGAGGTGAGTGGTCAAGAACACAGTCTTTCCTGGGAGAGTCTATTTATGTGCTAAGGTAATTCTGCAGGAGAGTCAGTTCCACCTATCTCTTCAAAATTAGGTAGGGGGGTTTCAACACTGTAGTCTGTGATCTCTTCCCTAAGATTGCTTCCGTGTAGTGTTGGGTGTTGCACTGTTGGTGCACTACAGTAGTCCTTTGCAGCTTGGAACTTCCTGTGTGGGCGCGACGATCCAGTTGCAAAGAGTTGCCGTAGTGCAATGATAGGCTCTGCATCTACTTGACATCTGTTGTGCTGACTCTTTTTTAGGGTTGCTTGAATTTCTGTCCCAATAATGATCTCTGATACCTAGTATCCCGGCAGGTAGAAACCCCTTTATTTCCCAACATTCTTTCTTTGGCCTTTTTATTTTAGGTTTGCCAAATAAATTGTATTTATTTTGCGTTCTATTCCGATATCACAAGGGCACAGGGCAGCCTATTTGAGACCTAGCATAAAGCACATTAAGCTGTATACTGCCTTAACTTTGAGAAGGCTTGTATTACTTTCAGAGTTTGCCTGGTCTTTCAGAGGAAAGGAGTTGCTGTTACTGCAGATGTCTCTCTTCTGCTTTCTGTTCCAACTGCCACATCATCAAGAAGAGTCTTTCAGTTGGGCTTCACGCCTGTGCTGGTGACCAAGAGCAGGAAGTAGTGTCTTAGGTAATTTTGGCAGGACTAGTTCTCACCTGTTGTGAGGCTTTATAGGTCAAATGAGTATGATTTTGCAAATTGCAAAATTACATCGTACTTTGCCGAGAAAGAAGCTGAAAGCCAGATCTCAGAACGCCATGTCAAGCTGCTTCTGTTGGGAGGGGATAATGTGTTCTGCATTGACTGCACTATCCCAGCAGTCAACCAGTCCCTCACAGTAGCAATGCTTTGAAATTAAGAAGGGATGAATGGTTCACCTCTGAAATAATGGGTTGGAGCTTACTCATTGGCTGGAGGTGGTGAAAAGAGCTTCTGGCTTGCCACGACCACCTGAAGTTCTTTAAGCATAGCACTTTTACGATGGGCATGTGACTCCTAGAAGTGCACCCATGCTGTGAGAATTTGCCCTGAAAGCCTGTAAAGAGTAGGTGATGCTGCTCAGTTTGTTCCAAAGCCAACTGATTGTGGTATCTGTTTTTTCAAAATATTGTGCCCTGGTGATGGCAGCGGCACAAAAAATCCTCATCACTGACTCTCTTGCAAAGTGTAGTTCTCTTAACAACCTGAGAAGATGAACAGTCTGGTAAGCTTTGATCGCCTCTGTCTGGAGAGCAGTTGTGTTGTGTCCGGTGTGACAGATTTATGTTAAACTGTTGGGACCTGAATGTCAAGCTGTGGGGCATTCCACAGGACTCCATAATGAAGATCCTTAACCGTTAAATCAGTGCCGATAGCTGCGTTATTTACCACAAGTTTGGGAGTTAGCGATCTCATTCCTTATTCTGGAGATGGCCCCAAGTCCCCATGACCTGGACTTAGTCCCACAGAATGACTGACAGAGGAACTAATTTACCGTGGTACATTTGCAGTTTTTACGTTTTTGCCTGGTGCTTTTTTAGGAGGTATTTACACATTGCTGAGCGATTTCAGCTTCCCTACAGATTATAGATCTTGTGTTTTGTTTCTCTGAAGGGCTGTATTGATAAAGAGATGGTAATTATGTGAAAAGGTTAAAAACTCTTATAGACGTTAAACAGAGCGGGGGGAAAAAGGCTTTGTAGCAGTTGATGCTGGAAGTTAGGTCTGCGTACTTATTGGAGATCTTCCCTGCTGGGAAGCTCCTTTAAAGAACCAGAGCATCTAGCAGCAATTATCCCTCCGCACTAAACTCCCAGTTTGGCGAGTACGCTAAGTTAACTTCAGATTTGTATTGTTGATCTGTATATTGAATTCTACAAGGAAAGAAGACGCCAGCAGCTTCAAGCATCTACTGTATGTGGGAGATTGGGACCTATCATTGGCCACTATTATTTGTCTCAATGTGTACGCGTCTGAAAGCAGAGAAACAAAATATCTCTTCAAATGCATCTATAAAAATGTTAGGTACTTTGGCTAGGCTATATGTTCAGGCCTATAAACAATAAATTCTGGTGGCATAATCGCTCATATTACAAAATTGGATACGCTCAGGGAGGCCATTAAAGAGCCAATTAGGTTCTGTGTAAGTGAAAACAGTTCACAGCTAGTTGAGTTAGTGGATTTATTCTGTTTGCTCTGTTTTTAGGTCTGGGGCTGTAATGCTGCCTTCTCATTTTCTCTCTTGCAAAAAAATCTGTTTCTTGGGAATTGTGAAAAATGTGCCTAACTTTTGAAACATTTTCTCAGACTTCCCAGGCATGCAGTGCAAAATTCTAGTCCTGAATCCCAGTCTTGATCCAGCAAGGCCTCATCATTAGAGGAAATGACCATTTGAGAGTCAAGTAGATTCTCAATTCATCTGGCAGCTGTTTGAACTGTGGTTCCTTATGATTCAGAGATGTGTAATGGCCGGTTTGGGAACCAGAGGTGCAGTGGACTTTTTCCTTGGCAGCCTCCTGACAGATATCTTTAGAACAAGGCTCCGATACTTCTCCTGTGCCAGGATGTTTTGTAGCAGTTGCAGCTGGAAAGTATCCAACATCTCACATTTGATGCTCTCTGGCAGACAGGGTCTCCCTGGAATTTCTCAGTCAAGCTTTATTGTCAAACTAGCCGTGCTAGTTTGCAAACTTTTTTTTTTTTTTTTTTGCTCAGGACTTTGTTACAGGATCTGCTAAAGATAATCTGGTGAAACATTTCTGCCCAGTGGTCAATCTAAGCACCACTTACAGGCTCAGCTTGTTCTATGCAGGTGCAACTGTCTTCAGACTTTCTCTGGCTGCGGTCACACGGAGCATTAGCCCCGCTGCATAGACGGAAGATAGGCGGACTTTCCGGGCACGATCTCACCGCAACATCTGGGGAGCGTAGAGCTCCCGTGGCTGACCCGTGACTACCCTTCGAAGACTCGCAGTAAAAAACTAATACCTCCGAGGTACTAGTTTCTGGGAACCGCGCGGCAAGAGCAGCCCTGCCGGACTCCCGTCATAACCGGCGCCCACAGGGTTGTTCCCCTCCATGCCTCCAGAAGCGCCTAACAGCGCATGCGCACAAAGACGCGCGGCAGCATTGGGGTCGAGGGAGGGCCACAGGGGGCTGCGATGGGGGTGAGCAGCAGCGGCCAGGTGGAGAGCGGGCCACGTGTCCCGGGGAGGGCTGCTGGTGGGGAGGGGGGATCTGGTGGGTTACTCCCCCCTTCCCCCTCCTTGTGAGCGGCCCACGGACCCTGGCCGGAGTGGGCTGTGCATGGCCCTCCCAGAGGCGGCGGCTTGTTCCGTCCCCTTCCCATCGGCCGGATGCTCTCGGTGGAGGTGCAGATACTCATGTGATCAGCACCTCCACCCTAACCACGGGACCTCGCCGGGACGTCTGATCCCGCAGCAGCGTGGTATTTTGCCCCGGGGCAAACAGCCATGCTTCCCCCCTGCATTTTCCTGGCCGTGTGACCTCTGCTATTAGCTGTAAAGTACTGATGCCATTCTTTTCTTTCTTTTTTTTTTAAGGTGTGTGATCTGTACAGTAAGCTGGGTTTGATTTCTTAACTTACTTATTTGTTACATTTGTATCTTTTCCTCTTTTGAGGAACTTGGAATGCTATTGTAACTTCCTAACAAGGAGGGTTAGGCTGAGCCTGTTTACACAATACACTATTTTTAGGTCCACCCCAGCCAGGTTCTATTTATTTATTTATTTGGATTTATATCTCGCCCTCCCCTTAATGGGCTCAGAGTGGGTTCCAACAGTATAAAATACAATACAATTAAAACCACATTAAAACACAATATAAAATAACATGGCTCATATGTACCATACAGCTCTAGTAAAAACCAGATACCTCAGTGGTTGATGGTACTAGAATTTAAATTTCTATCACGCAGACATGCTGGGAAACTTAAATTCTCAGGTGTTTGGGCACCAGTTTGGATCAGGATTGCAGTGCACAGGTGGAGAGGGGTTTTTAAGCCTTCCTTGTGCTATTTTCCTGACCTGGAATAGCCCCAGGAAGCTGGTATTTGTACTGCTGAAAAACCTTACATACCACTATTTGCCCATACCAGAAGCTTCCCTAGTGGGGCAAATAGTGGCTTCCCGGGCTGTTTCAAAACAGAAAAACAACACAGGGAAAGCGAAAGCCCCCTCTCTCTGTTGGAATCACCTCCACATAACCGAGAATCTTAAATGTCTTCAGGAACTCCCAACGCACATCTGTTTGACATAGGGCACACTCTGGGATGGATATGGGAACAGTGTATCCTGCAGTTAAGTCCTCAGAGATACTGGTGTACTAAAGGAGACCCGGCAAATATACAGCTGAACAGAGATTTAAACCCGGCTTTCCCATGTTGAAGCTCAGCTTTCTGTCCACTGTGTCATGCTGGCCATTAGAACTGGAGCAGGATATTTTTTAATATAACTTTTATAATATAACCTTAGAAGAGATGATCAGGAAGTGGCAGTGAAGCCACTTGTAGTTGATTGCAGTTGAAGGAAGATAGAAGAAGAGTTGCGGTAGTGTGTCTGGTGAACGTGGTATTTGTGCTGTGGGCTGTCTTCTCTTTTGTGTGGTGTTGGTTTTGCAGTGCTTGTAGGGTTGAACATATGAAATGGCCGTATACCCATTCAGATTAATGGTTGATCTAGTTCGATGATGTCTGCTGCAACCAGGAACACCTTCCCAGGGTCTCAGGCAGGGAAAAGTCTTTCTCAGTATCTGTTACCTGAACTGCTTTCTGAGCCAGGGAAAGTTGCATTTAGTCAACATATATTAGCCTTTGATCCTGTATCCGTATAGTTATCAGAAATAACAAGCCCTGAAGCCCAGAATGGCTTCTGGTTTCCTTTTTTCTTAGGTTCTGTCTTTTAATCTGTTTAACACAGTTTCTAGAAAGATTTA